GTAACTATGATAGTACCTAAAGTAATACATCTGTTTATGATCACCTATAACATAATTTAGGATTGCACTAGCCAGTAAGTATCTGGTCTCATTAGTGCGATGGCGTTTGAAACGAAAAGTACTGTGTCCGAGTGTTGGAGTAAAGATCGACTCTGGGATGCAGCTACATTTAGCTGACGAGTCCCAGATAAGATGGAACGCTCGACCTGGAATTCACTGCCAGTCGCTATCCATCTCTGCTTATAATTTGTAAGAACTTCTTTCCGAATTTATTTTCTTGAATTTTAGAAGAGCGTTTTTATTAAAATCATTTAATTAATTCTTATGTTATTATTATTTTTATTTTTATTATTAATAATGGCTTTATTCAACATTATATTTTGGTACAATATTGACTTCTCAGCACAAACATCCTCACTTTTAACATGGATTTTGTTCGTTACCTATTATCTAGGCTATGCTTCTTCAATTGATCACTGCTATTGGTGCACTTCTGGGTTCATCTGTTAGCTTACTTGCTGCACGTGTTAGTATTGGTCCTATTGTTTTTGATGCTAATATACTACCAGTTGTAACAGATGATGTTGTTATTGGTTGCATTTTACCATTTACTGCCGGTGGTTTTATCTACATAGCTATGACTTCTGTGCTACCTGATCTGTTGGCAACTAATAATAACACCGGTACTACTACTAATACACCAAAAACACGAAACAATGGATTAAAATCATTCGTTCAAAGTCTACTTGAAATAATTTCTTTAATTAGCGGCGTTGCAATGATGGCTGCTATCGGAACACTGGAATAAAGATGTAAACAAGTATATTTTGTGTCTGTAGAGAAAAAAACAAACTAGGTTGATATGACAAATGTAGTATAGTTTATTTTTTCTGTTTATGCATACTGGTACTTTTTGCTGCAATCTAGTCCCCTCGTATCCTGTTTTTCTTTTTCGTTTGTTTGTTCATATTTCATAAAATCTAATCTTAAGTGAAGCAAAGAAATTCAAAGTAAAAAGCATTTTCAGAGTACAAACGTACTATTTGAAAAAAATTACAATTCATTTGCTCGTATACTTTCTGTCTCCCTTCGTATACTTTTTTCTTTATTGTTAATTATGTTGTTGTTGTTGTTTTCTTCAGTTACGTTTGATCTTGTTCCAATGATTTTCATTTTTTTATCATGATTTAGTAATACTTCCATTGTACTATTTATTGTTGTAAAATGATTAATTTTGGTGGAGTTTTGTTCTCTGAGCTGGATGGTTTGGTCATCCATCCAGCTCAGAGAACAAAACTCTACCAAAATCATCCACCTGAGCTTCAAACCTTCTCCACCATCTCAAAATGATTAATACATTTGTATAGTTTTCTTATATATTTTTATCTTGTTGGTTGAATGGTTCTAAATGATTGTTCCTCTTTTTTGATATTGTTATCGTTCTTATCATAGAACTTAATTATCCAAAAAGAAAAGAAACTTTTGAAGTGAACCAAAAATTTACATTTCTATCATCGATTTTCTTCTTATTATTATTATTTGGTATGGTATATTTGTATTTTGTATTTAATAACAAACGAAAGCAGTTTATTACATAATCACAATTGTACATCGATCAGAACTTCCCTTTTGTGTTGGTGCTTTTTTAAAATTATCCATAACTTTGTTCATTTCATTTGTTTTTTTCTTCACCGGTATGTTTGACTTATTATTTTGGTAAAGTGATTTTGTTTTTCTACTAACTGTTGCAGTTGGATGGAGGAAAGATTATTGTTCAATATGGTACATAATTGCTTTATTTATTAATTTCAAACATTGGGCCTGAACCGGCAGTTATGAATTTCATAGTTTGGTGGTGTGTTTTGAGTATATAATTCCAAAGGTTCTTTCACTGGGCATCATGGTTGGTGATATGTGGGTATGAAACAACGGCTTATCGACTTTCAATCGGACATTCAACATAATCACAGGCCTGTATCGTATTGCTATTTAATCATGAAGAAATGTCGACCCTAAAAGTGTCATACCTCACCTTACCCCACAGGTTTCCGTCTCTGGCGTTAAGGCTTTTGAAGTGTGGAGCTAAAACATCAGGAACTTCCCATAAAAAAGCCGTGCGCGACCGGCCTGAAACAGTTGTCCCTTGGGCTCTGCAGTCAAGCTCTCAGGCTGCTAAGGCTACTACTAATTCAGATTCCGTTTTAGGTCCCAAAAGAAGAGATATTTTTCTGCGGTGTTAGCAACCGGGATGTACCAACCAGTCTCATACCTCCTTCAGCACCAGAGATCATCTTGTTGACGATCGAGTCCTCGCTCACTTCTTAATGATTCTGCCATCCTCACGAATAGCCCTTCTAATTTACCTTTATCTTTACGCACCAATAATGCTGGTGATTTGAGTTCACGAAGTGTTATACCTGTTCTCCTGAAACCACGCTCTAAATTACATGTTAGGGCTCTTAATGTTCGAACATTGCGTCGGATAGGAAAACAATCTTCTTTAGCTAGAACTTAAGAATCTCACAAGTTGGATGTGTGCTTCGTCACCGTAACCCACATACAGGGTCCAACTATGGTCATTCATCTAACTTAGTTGATTTATTCTTCGTGTATCTGGAGACCCCACTGCTACTTCCCATAACCTCACTAGTGTAAGTGAAGCGCTAATTTCGAAAGCTGGATTCCAATAAATAGTTGCTTGTGCTCTGCCTGACTAAACGGACGGTAAGAGCTTAGAAAGTTAGTGACACGCCATTGCCTTTTCGTTATCTCTGCATACGATCCCACTGATTGCAGATGGGAGGATGTTAAATGTTATAGAAAGCTATGTATAAGAAGGGACAGAGATCCTCTTGGTGATGATCACGGAGATCATTTTTCCAACATGGTTTCTAAAATATTCGTCTCAATTATATTTCGATGTCTAGCTAGAAGTCGTTAAGAGCGAACACGAGAAAACCAGGCTGGTTTCAGACCTGGACTTGGATGTATAGGCCAACTATTCACCCTTCGGCAGATTCTGAAACATACACTTCTTGACATTCTGCTATAGTCCTGTTCTTTGAACTTACGACAGCATTCAGCTCTGTTGATCGTGAGGTTCTGTGGCAGTGTCTCGTTGAAAGATGTACCAAATAAATGCATTTATCTTGTTCAAGCTCTCTACTCGATCACTTTCGGCCGAATCAGAGCTTGTAGCGAACTGTCGTCGGAACTGGTTACTTCAGGTGGTTCTCATCACGGTTGTCCGCTGCTTCCGTTTTTATTTAACTTGGATATGGACGTACTTTTAGAGATAATGCTTTCATCATCTGACTTTTCACGAGTTGATCTTCTACCGGAAGATTCACTTGCTGACTCAGAATATAGAGGTGATATAGTTTTGTGTGGTGAAGACGCCGATAAAATTTAATCTTCTGACCATCTTAAGGAACAATGAAAGCATTTTTGTGATGCGGTTCTCCCCCTTCAAATGTAAAATGTTACTTCAGGATTGGCTTGGATCATTGCCTGAATTAGTGATAGGGAGTGAAGTAGTTGAACTCACTTCACTTATGAGCGTCTAAACAGTACTGATTGTATGGTGCCTGACAAAATCGCGGCACGGATCCAGAAGGCTCGATTGGCTTTTGTCAGCTCGTGTTCCATGTGGCGTGGGGAAGATGTCCGTCTGTCAACCAAAGGGCAAGTTTACCGAGCAACAGTTCGCTCCGTTTTACTCGACGGATGTGAAACGGCCATTAAAAGTAGGGGATATTCGTTGGTTACTGATATGTGATCATAGGTTTCTACGAGGCATTGCTCGTGTATTTTGGGACCACGGACTAAGCAATATCTGGGTTGGGGATAGAGTACTTAATAAAGATGAATAGTCAGTAGATGAGATAGTAAATCATCATCATATTCCCGCTCACCACCTACCTTGACGGGTGATGTTTCCTAGTTATAATTTGAAATATGAGTATATAGCAACTATCCTACAACTAATTTCGATTATGGTTAAGTTTGGTTAAACCCTTTTACTAACTTACTTAGTAGACAATGTTATTTGAATGATAACAATTCATCTATTTCTTTGTACTATTATAATCACTAGATCACATGACAGACTCTAGATAAAATGTTAATTACTTAAATATCACTCGGTGAATATATACGTACTCAAATCCAATTATTAGTCCTTACTTTGTTTTACTGCGCCCTTATGCAATCTGACTATAAATTTACCTATGTAATCATTCGTATTCATTTGTTTACCTCTCCTTAAACTGCAAAATCGTGCATGGAGGACAGCATATTTACAACTGAAGAATATCTGGAACTCAAAACAACAGTCCACAAGCCAACACCAAAGTCAGAATTTACAATACAAATGTCAAGACAGTTCTACTGTATGGGATGGAAACCTCGAGAACTATGAAAGCCATCATCCAGAAAATACAAATGTTTATTAACAGTTGTCTACGCAAAATACTTCAGATCCGTTGGCCGGACACTATTAGCAACAACCAATTGTGGGAAAGGACAAACCCAGATCCCAGAGGAGGAAGAAATCAGGAAGAAGCGTTGGAAGTGGATAGGACACACATTGAGGGAAGCACCGAACCGTGTCACAAGACAAGCCCTCACATGGAATCCTGAAGGTCAAAGGAAAAGAGGAAGACCAAAGAACACATTACGGCGGGGAATGGAGATAGACATGAGAAAAATGAACAAGAATAGGATGGAATTAGAAATGAAGGCTCAGGACAGAGTAGGTTAGAGACTGTTGGTCGTCGGCCTATACTCCATTAGGAGTAACAGGCGTAAGTAAGTAAGTAAGTAAGTAAGTATTTACCTCTCCACTTCAAATTCACTTGACATTACTTATAGCTTTGTGATATGCGCTATCAACTAATAAACTGTAGTTGCTGTTTCTTATTGCCTTCTAATTTTAAACATCGATGAAGTTTATATATCAACAGTTATAAGGATGATCAATTAACAAAGTAACGCAAATATAAGTAAATAATACTTTTACTTATTTAAAAACAAGTTATTTACAATTGTCAATACTGTTTTTTTTGCACTTTTTATCATAATAACATTCTATCTTTTTCAATTTTAGTAACATTTGCATAATCACCACCGGCTTTTTCACGTTCTTCATTAAATTCTTTAGTGATTTTTTTAATTTCTAATAATTGTAATAAATTTTTCCATAAATTCACTTGTTTTAAACCAAATTTTTCATTTTCTAATAAAGATTTCTGTTCTTGTTTTAATGTTTTAGTTAAAGCTTCTTGTTCAGCTATTTTACGTGTATAAATTTCTCTAGTAATAATAATAATAATAAAAGAAGAAGAAAGAGACAAAGAAATAAAAACTGACATAAATAAACAAGAATTCAGAACATAGATATTCTTTTCATACTTTTGTTTGCAATATGATCTTCATCTGATGGTATTTATATGTACTTGATTGAAATCATGAACCGATTGATGTTAGACCATCGTTGGAAACCTGGAAGCACTGGACGCGGCTGTCTCCTCCTAGTATGGGACTCCTCAGCAGTGCGCATCCACGATCCCGCCTCGCGAGATTCGAACACAGAGCCTTCAGCCTCGCACACGAACGCCTAATCTACTGGACCACTAAATCGGCATCCAATGGTGTTAGTGTTGAACATCAACCAATCCACGAAATTTCGCGACCATCTTCCATTGTACTGAGATAGATACCTGTTTCTACCCGACACGGATTAGCTCCACTGATCATGGTTTCTCACTAGAACTCCGAGAATTCCCTCACGAAGCTAATCACTAATGAGCACATGTTAATTATCAGTATAGGGGTCTTGGAGATCAATCGGTTCATGATCTCAATCAAGAACTTAATAATCTCCACAACTCCTATACTGATAGTTATTTATATGTTATGACTCATTTTCAACTCGATTAGCTCCAAAGAAGGAGTCTGAGTAGAAATTGAAGTAGTTTTGTGTAATTTTAATGTAAATTTATCTTATCTACAGACGATATTTATTTAAAGAAAAGGAGAAAATCAAAATGGACTGATATGATAGCTAATTTGGATGAGACTATAATTTATGGACGACCTTTGAGCGACTCCAGACTGACCATGAGAGTGTTCACCTGATAACCAGAACTAAATGAGGGTTATAAACCTATGTGCGGAATTAGAATTATGATCTACAGTTGATAGTTAAGGTTGGGAATTAAATTCAAGATTTTCATCACGGATTGACATCAGTTATGGTGCCATAAATCTACTTATTCAAATGGATGAATGAGATCTGTTATCTTATACCTGATTGGTTCGTCCATAAATTATAGTTTCACCTTAATTCGTATTAGTTTAAGATTATTCCACCTTGTTATAATGCAACAAATATTTTAAAAGTTAGAACTGGTTATTGAGAATTAATATAAATTATAATTTTGTTGTATAATTAATGAATAACTAGATTACTATGTATATGTATTCCTTTCATCATAAACATTCGATTAATCTACTAACTATTATTTTACAACTTAATATTCCTGATTTGTTGCTAGTCGATTATTCACAGTTTCACCTACTAACAATCACTTTTAGCTTATTTATATATAGTTATTATTTTCCATTTAATGGTACGATGCGGTCTGGTCTGTTTGAAATATAATATAATAGAGGTCGACTGCTGATTTAAGGGAAGGGAAGAGAGAAGTTAGAGAATTGTGAGCTGATAGAAACGAAACATTGAATCAAGGTTGATAGTACGGTGAAACTGTACTTCATAGACGACCTTCGAGTAACTCTAAAGTAACCTTGGGACGACTCATCTACTTACTGTAGTCAAAAAAGGGTTATAAACTAGTATCAGGAATTAAATTAAATGTTTTCATCACAATTTGACATCACCCATAATGCTGGTCGGTCATATATTAGCAGAGTCCGAAACATTAATAGTGAACGGTAATTAGACCAAATTCGAATCGGAATTCTGATAAGTGATTTGTCATGTGATATTGATCAGCGACGTAATCCTCCTGGTATTAGTTTATGATGGAAATGATCTTTAGCTTACAGAAAATCTCTGCATAAATCATTCAACTCGATATCGATAAGGTTATGTTAAACTCTTCATACTATAGACTTTCGAAGTGTGTTGTACGATCTGTGTACAAATCTGTTACAACACGTTCCATTGAAAGCTCTTGAGAATTTCTTCGTAATGTTGACGGTGTAAGCATTAAGAATTTCATGGATGAAAGTAATGTGGAATGCTTCTTTACTGACAATCAGTTGAACATAGTACAATTGAAATAATAAAGATCATGAACGAGACACACTTAAAAATCACCTTTCATGACGAAACAATTTCAGCTTGTTTACAGGGATTTATTTATCTCGATAGTAACGAACTATACTTGACCTTCAAAACTTTAATAAAACTCCTAATGTAATAATATATATATTCAATTGTAATCGGTTATTAATCATTGTAACATTCAAATCCTTTAAAACATGATATTGTTAATCTGATTGTTACTTAGCCTGAAAATCACAATCCACTACTTCTAAAGTGATAGAATTCTATGAATACTACTGAATATGCTTATTTTATGATGATAATTTGTACTGTTTGATATTTAACATAAGTAAATCACAATATCACCTAGATATTTATAGAAAAACTATGAAGTGAAAGATCATAAACAATCATAAGTAAATCTTAGCAATATAGAGAAGTCCCACAATAGGACGAAACGGCTGTCCAGTGCTTCGAGGTTTTCCATGGTGGTTTAGCTTCAATTGACTCATGATCTCAACTATTGAAATTACTACAATCTCCACAAAACCCCTTCTTATATTTTGATTGGATTATGCAACAAAGATTTGTATCACTCTAAAGTAAGTTCTAAAAACACAAGGATGAGTCACTTACCTGTAACTTTTTCTTTTCTCCATAGTTTCATTTGTACTTTCAGTTTTATTAGGTGATAAAGCAACATGACTACTATTAGTTACATAACCACGTATTTCATTTTGTAAACGATTTTGTTGAATATGTAATAGTTCTAGATTGGCAGTTAAATAATGAAATTTTGATTCTTCATTTTTTTCCGCTTCACGTATTGTACGTACTTCTTGTTCTAAACGAATAGATTGAGATTCTTGACTAGCTGTTAATGCATCATAAGCGGATTTTTTCTCAACATGTATTTGACCAAGTTCCTATGTGATTTATTCAATAAATATTATTTAAGTTAGTATCATTTGTAATGATCATACTACAATATATGTTTATCTTCTATTTTATGAATGTAAAATTGAATAATAACGGCTTCATTAATATTTCAGAATTCTACTTTTCATTATTACATCCAACCTTAATTTAATGTATGAGTATATATAGAGAGCCGTATAATTAGAGAATTATCAGGTTTAATCCGTATTGTTTGTTTGACACATTCCATCACGTCTTCAGTTTGTCTAATTACCTGGAATTTAAACTTATATAACGAAATGTATTTCATTAATCTATGGCTGTATACATATATCTAGCTTAAGTGAGGCCCATTAAGTTTCTTATGATATCATATACTTACTTACTTACGCCTGTTACTCCTAATGGAGTATAGGCCGACGACCAGCAGTCTCTAACCCACTCTGTCCTGAGCCTTCCTTTCTAATTCCATCCAATTCTTGTTCATTTTTCTCATGTCTATCTCCATTTCCCGCCGTAATGTGTTCTTTGGTCTTCCTCTTTTCCTTTGACCTTGATGATTCCATGTGAGGGGTTGTCTTGTGACGCAGTTCGGTGCTTTCCTCAATGTGTGTCCTATCGACTTCCAACGCTTCTTCCTGATTTCTTCCTCCTCTGGGATCTGGGTTTGTCCTTTCCCACAATTGGTTGTTGCTAAGTGTCCGGCCAACGGATCTGAAGTATTTTGCGTACACAACTGTTAGTAAACACTTGTATATTCTGGATGATGGCTTTCGTAGTTCTCCAGATTTCCGCCCAATACAGTAGAACTGTCTCGATATTTGTATTGTAAATTCTGACTTTGGTGTTGGCTTGTGGACTGTTGTTTTGAGTTCCAGATATTCTTCACTTGTAAATATGTTGCTCTTGCTTTTCCAATCCGCGCTTTCACATCTGCATCAGATCTACCGTGTTCATCATTGATGCTGCCCAAATATGTAAAGGTTTTTACATCTTCCAAATCTTCTCCGTCAATTGTGATTGGATTGGTGCATGCTGTGTTGTATCGGAGAATCCTGCTTTTCCCTTTGTTTATGTTGAGACCTACTGCTGCTGAGGCTGCTGCCACGCTGTTTGTCTTCTCCTGCATTTGTTGTTGTGTTTGTAATAGAAGAGTCAAATCATCTGCGAAGTCTAGATCGTCTAACTGCATCATAGATGTCCATTGTATCCCGTGCTTCCCTTCAGATGTTGACGTCTTCATGATCCAGTCGATCACCAGGTGAAACAGGAAGGGTGAGAGTAAGCAACCTTGCCTGACACCGGTCTTTACCTTGAAAGAGTCTGTCATTATCCTCCATGCACGATTTTGCAGTGTAATCCATCATATGAACTCTGTATGATATTGACTACCTTCTGAGGCACGCCGTAGTGTCGAAGAAGCTTCCATAGTGTTGTTCTGTCCACGCTGTCAAATGCCTTTTCGTAGTCAATGAAGTTGATGTAGAGTGATGAATTCCATTCAATTGATTGTTCCACAATGATCCGTAGAGTTGCGATTTGGTCTGTACACGATCTATCCTTACGGAATCCTGCCTGTTGGTCACGAAGTTGGGCGTCTACGCAGTCCTTCATCCTGTTTAACAATACCCTGTTGAAGACTTTTCCTGGTATTGGGATAAGAGTGATGCCCCTGTAGTTATCACAGTTGCTGAGATCGCCTTTCTTCGGTATTTTGATCAGAAGTCCTTCTTTCCAGTCTGTTGGTACTTGTTCCTCATCCCAAATCTTATTGAAGAGAATGTGGAGTATCCTTGCAGTTGCCGCTACGTCTGCTTTTGGTGCCTCTGCTGGGATGTTGTTTGGTCCTGCTGCTTTGCCACTCTTGATTTGTCTGATGGCCATTCTGATTTCTTCAATTGTTGGTGGGCCAACATTGATTGGGAGGTCCGTGAGTGCTGCTTCGATGTTGGGTGGGTTCAGTGTAGCTGGTCGATTCAAGAGTTCATTGAAGTGTTCTACCCACCTGTTTCGTTGTTCTTCAATGTTGGTGATTACCTTGCCTTCCTTACTTTTCACTGTTTGCTCCGGTTTACGGTAATTTCCATAGAGTTTCTTTGTTATGTCATACAGTTCTCTCGTGTTTCCTTCTCTTGCGACCTTTTCCGCCGTCGTTGCTAAATCTTCCACATATTTACGATTTTCAGTTCTGATGCTCTTCTTCACTTGCTTGTTTACTTCTGTGTATTCAGCTTGTGCCTTGGCCTTTTCTGCTCTTGTTCGGCTGGTATTGATTGCTGCCTTCTTGTTTCTTCTTTCTTGAATCTTATATAGTGTATCAACAGTGATCCATTCCTTGTGGTGGTGCTTCTTGTGACCCAGGACCTCATGGCATGTCGAAGTGATTGCTTCTTTGATCCCCTTCCAATTGCTCTCCATAGTAGTCCCTTCTCCATTGAATAGATCATGAAAGTTCCCATTTTGCCATTTGGTAAATTAAGAAGGAACGAATTGAGCGAAGAAATTTCTTTTCAATTAGTTTTTCATCATGGCTCTACACTAATATATATACGTTTTACAATAATAATATAATACTCATCGAGTGGATACGTTACGTAATAATTACATAATTAACATTCAGTAATTGGAAGAGAGAGGATTATTAATATTCAAAGTAATCAAGAAGTTGTTATGTTGCGTAATATAAGAAACAAAGAAGGAACAGAATTTTAACGGATGGTCAATAGGATAGTAGTTACGTAAGAATCAAGAGATGAATGTTGAGAAGTTATAAGGCTCAAAAGCGATAGAAACAAAATTACAAAAATTTTTAAAATAAAAATAAAAATGGAAGAAGTATGAAAAATAGTTCTTTTGATGGAAATGTTATACTGAAGGCCAGGGTAGAGAAAGTGGTTGTACGAATTTCTTTTGGATGCAAAGGTCAGGTTTGTGAACATGGATTGCGATGGCCTCCGCAATGTGCAAAAGGCGCACTCGTAAACCATGTGGTAGATTTGATGGAATATTGTAGATAACCTTAAAAGCTTTATTCACTTCGACTTGATGACCTGTGTCAACCAAGTGAGAGAGAATAGAACAAGTGAAAGTGATTAAAAGTTCTATTCTATCGCTTTTGAGCCTTATAACTTCTCAACATTCATCTCTTGATTCTTACGTAACTACTATCCTATTGACCATCCGTTAAAATTCTGTTCCTTCTTTGTTTCTTATATTACGCAACATAACAACTTCTTGATTACTTTGAATATTAATAATCCTCTCTCTTCCAATTACTGAATGTTAATTATGTAATTATTACGTAACGTATCCACTCGATGAGTATTATATTATTATTGTAAAACGTATATATATTAGTGTAGATCATGAAAGGCCTGGAACTTGTTGCTGAGGACTATCTTGAATTTGTTGAGTTTGTTAGTATCCTGGAGAAAGGCCGTATTGAACTTTTGTGATATTGTCCGCCCCATTGTCCAGTGCTTCTTGAGTTTCAATTTCATCTTGGCGACCAGCAAGTGATGATCTGATGCTATATCAGCTCCTTTCTTGGTTCTCACATCTTCCATCGTCCTCTTGAACGTTTTGTTGATGCAAATATGGCCGATTTGGTTTTGTGTAGTGTAATCCGGTGAAATCCATGTGGTTTTGTGAATGCGTTTATGTGGGAATACGGTGCCGCCTATGACCAGCTTATTGAAGGCACATAGATTTGCAAATCTCTCACCATTTTCGTTTCTTTCTCCCAGTCCGTGTCGTCCCATGATGTCTTCATATGCAGTGTTGTCCACTCCAACCTTCGCATTGAGGTCTCCCATCAGAATGGTCAGGTCCTTTGTTGGGCACTTCTCGATGATTGACTGCAGCCCATTGTAGAATTGGTCTTTAGCGTCTTCATTGTAGTCGTTGGTAGGCGCATAGCATTGGATGATGTTCATTGAAATGCCCTCTTTCTTTGCTTTGAAGGGGGCTTTGATGATCCTTGGTCCATGAGATTCCCATCCTATAAGTGCATTTTGTGCTTGTTTGGACAGCATCAATGCAACTCCTTGTGTATGTGGTGCATTTTCTTCATCACGGCCGGAGTATAACAGAAGCTCCCCTGAAGCTAGTCGCTGTTGTCCAACTTCCGTCCAATGTGTTTCACTGATCCCAAGCACATCTAGGTTGTATCTTCTCATTTCTGCAGCAATTTGGAAGACTCTCCCGGTCTCCCACATTGTACGAGTATTCCATGTACCTAAATAAATGGTCGCTCTGGTTGTCAGAAGGGGCATCGGCCTCGTAACTTCCGAAGGAATTCGGCTTTCATCATGAGGCGTCATAATTCTTCTAAATGAAGACCTTCTGACTCCCAGGGCAGAGTTTAAAAGGTTTGAATAATTTTTTCTGGTTAGTGTTTTTTTAGCGAGTTAGTTTTCTACGGGATGGGGACGCCAACCCCATGCCCAACCCTTCTATTTTACCCGGGCTTGGGGCCGGCAGTAGCCCCCGGAGGGGCTCCAGGCGGAGTTTTATTATTTCATATATTTTATAGATAATGTCTAATCAGCCAGTCAGTTACAACGTAGGACCAGGCATATATATGCATCGGTCCAAGTTACAACACTTCATCAACAAAACAAGATAAACACCAAATTCGTAGTAGTTACTTCAACGGTAGCAATATATATATATATATATATGAAATGTAACTGTAGTGAGAGAGAGATAATCATACTGTTTGCTTATTACATAGAAAATGAGAATAGCCTATCTGTTAGGTATAATTATTTTGTATTCTAAATTTACTAACTGAACGGTCATTTACTTATCTACTCATGAAAACTTGGAATTCTAATATTAATTACAGGAAGAAACTAAATATAATAAATGTAATTTAAAATGGAAACTCCGCCTGTAGCTCTTCTAGAGTTACTGCTAGTCCCAAGCCCGGGTAAAGGAGGAGGGTTGGGCATGGGGTTAGCGACCCAATCCCGTAAAAAACTAACCCGCTGAAAAAACGCTGACCAGTAAAAATAATTCAATTTAAAATGAACGAATTAAATATGAACATCAGAAGCGTAAAATTATATGGGAAATTTTAATTCCTAAAAAATAACGATAAAGAATGAATGAAACTACTCCACTGATTCTCATTACTGTCATCTAAGGTTTGTAAGTATAGAATACGATTAATTAGTGGATTTCAAATAGGCCGTTAGGATTGTCTAATAGAACTTAGACTGATATTTAGTCATTGCGAAGGCTTCTGTTGTGCCTCAGTTTAGACATTAAGGCTTGTTTCGGCTTATTTCAATGTTTGGTAGTACAATACTTTATTGTAAGGAGTGAATGAACATGTTTGATATATGTTCCAGCCAATTGAGTCGACGATTGTTCATAACCTCAGCAAATAATTCCCCGACTCTGTATGATATTCTATACTTATCTTCAGCATTACTGATTGACTATGCTTACCATATGTGAGTGATGTTTTGTAGATGAATATGGTCAAGGACAAATCATGTGGTTCAAAGTCAGTTTTTATCACTTATAAAGTGATTTAGAGTCAACGTCTACGATATGCACTCCTGCGTCAAGCTGTTTTGAAAGTACTGTCACATTCAAGTACTAGAAAGTTTCAAATTTCTTTGTTATTTCATTTTGAAGCCCCTTTTTTTTACTTTAAACAGGATTTCGCGTTTCTCGTTTGATTTGTTGTAACTCATTTATCGAACTTTATTGATTATTTATGTCAATGTTTTGAAACATTCAAGGAAGATGCATTATTATTTGTACTTAGATTACTACTGAAATGTTAGGTTATTGAAAGCTATTTGGAAGAATAACTAAATATGCGATATGTGCTAACTAGCACTCATTAATTAGGAATATTTGTAATCTTGAAAGAACCAATGTACCTCGTGGGATTGGAACTTGCATTATCGATTGTTACAATCAAAGCAATACTAATGAACTATCTAAACCTCAATAAACATATAGGAATGGGATATGTGGGCTGATTGACTACTTTATACTGACCAATATAATATTATTTTGCCTTTTGTATTGATTAATTTTTTTCAAACTGGTTGAAATCTAGCCAGTAGTCGAATTGACTCGACATTGTATCATAAATATTTTGTGACAAGTGGTTTAAAGAAGTCAGGAAAGAACAATAAAATTAACTTTCATGCTAGTTGACTATTTAAGGTATGAAACATTTCGTTCTAGTTATTTTTGTAAATATACAAACCGTTATGGGCAAATGCTTATAATTAGGTGACAAGTGTTTTTTCGGTATAATTCAGTACTTTTCGTCTCGTTCAGTATTAACTAACAACTAAATATTATAATGTTTGATGTTAGTTTATATCATTATCTGAATCCAAATATAGAACTCCTTAGCAAAACGTGACTCCATCCGTTCCAGGGAACGGACTCGAGATGGGTATTGATTAACATTACATAATTCACATTTTTAACACTATAGTATATGAGAATTAAATAACTATACAATACTTCCTGATTTCAAATGATTATTCTCATAAACTCAGTCCGAAATGTCAACTATCATGAAATAAAACGTTCTTCACTAACATGCTACTCTGATATACTACTTATTTGTTATTGTTTGTTCTTTAAAAAAAACCTTAAATTTCCGAAGAATGTACATCTACTCAAACACCGTGAATAGATTACGTATTTGTTTAATCAATAAAATAATAACAATTTAGATGTTTGTTTTTGTACGTATGTAGTGCACCAAATCGATTATTCCAGAAAAAACAAACTTGCAAAATGAAAAAAATGGTTTTCTAGTGCACTCGATATCACTACGTTTTTAAAGTGCATGTAAAACGTAATATGTTTTATGAAATCAGTTAAGTTGTACTTAGTAACATTTTACGATTACATTTAAATGTTAAATGAATTCAACATGAATCGTAGGAGAATATCAATTGAATGACTACTGTGAATCCTTACTTAATTACTCGTGTTACTCCTCGTGGAGGAGCAAGGCTGATCACTAGCATTCTTTATTCAACTCTGTCCTGGACAATCCTTTCCCATTCTTCCAATTTGCTATTCATCTTTTTGATTTCTGATTCTGATTCTCAACGTAGTATGTGGTGATCTTTCTCTTATCCGTTTCCCCTCAGGATTCCAAGTTAGCACTTACCTTGTGATGTAGTTAACTAACTTAAGTGATGTGTGTCCCATCCACTTCCAACATCTTTTCTTAATTTCCTATTCAGTTGTATTTTTTGACGATGATTGTGACAGTCTTCCAAGTTTCAGCTCCATACAGTAGAACTGTATTGACGTTCGTATTAAAGATTCTGACTTTGATGCTTGTTGACAGTTGTTTTGAGTTGCACATTTTGTTCAACTGTAGGAATGCTGTTCTTGCTTTGCCAGTCCTTGCCTTCACATCTGAATCAGATCCTCCACACTAATCGATGATATCACCTAGATAAATGAGAGATTCCACCTCTTTCAGAGTTTCTCCATCAAATGTGAATTAGTTGGTGTTCTCCGTGTTGTATTGGAGGATGTTGCTCTGCCTCTTGTGTATGTGGAGGCCTACTGATGCAGAGGCTGCTTCTACACTATTTGTCTTCATCTTCATTTGTTGATGTGTATGGGACAGAAGCGTCAGGTTATATGCGTAACCTAAATCGTCTAGTTGTATCCAAGATTTTCATTGTATTCAGTACTTACCTTAAGATGTGAATCCTGGTAAACTAAAATGCTGTTAAGTGTTATTCATGAACTACCTTCTGAGTTTAATGACTATTACACAGTCCAGTAATAATAATCTGTAAGCTACTCATTTTGATATAGGTGATTTTTTAGAATAACCAATCGACCGAAGTTACAGTTTTTCTTAACTAGACCTTATTGATTCAGAATACTTCGATAATGCAATAAGAAAACGAAGGTTATCAGAATTATGTGATATATTTGTGTAATACATTTCGAACAATCTGACCACATATATCGAAGAATTCAACAGTTTATCAAAACATGAATTTCATCACTTCGTCATATTACTTTATGTGACATAATGATAAGAATAAAATTGACTTCAGTCATATATTTATGCACTGTTAGGAAAACGATTACATATTTCTTTGTGAGATACCTTACAACTTACGTCTTCATATTTTTTCAATCCATTTATGAAAAAAAGATCTGTTAACGATTTTTATAAGGTAATCTTCGTCACAGATTGACATCACTTTACATAATCAATACAAACCTGAAAATGTTGAACTTCTGCTTTTTCTTAGTGAAACAGTTTTGATAAATTTAGACAATAAGGCTCGAGTCTAGGAATGAATTGAAAGAATCATACAGAATGTAAAGGACTACTGATGGGATATTTGCAAATGGAATATTTAATGCACAGTTCTCATATTTTACGAAGATATTCTGTAATTTTGTGTTAAACATAATTTGGTTGTCTCTCAATTGAGTGTTCGTGTATTACAGGGATCTAGAACGTCGTAAACAATGCATCACATTTAAACCATTGTGTCTGTATAGACTTATCAATATTTTATACTGATGTCAATCCCTAATGAATACCAACATTAAAATTTATATAAACTCCAAAAAAACCTCTCAACTAAAATACTACAAGAATTATTAGTATGAATGAAATCACCTGAGCTCTTTGTCTTAATTGTCGAAGTTCTCGGATGATTGGAGCTAGTTGTGTACGTTTAGTATTGATTCGATTATTTAATTGTTGAATAATTTTTGACATCTCTTCTAATGTAGTACCTTTTAGTTCATTTGACAGTGACATTTCTTCAGAAATCTTGTATAAATAAATAAGCAAAGAAAAAATCAATCAAAATAAATGGTGAAAACTATAATAACAAAGTTGCTTTTTATAACTGAAAGAAATAACAGCTTGCTGTTCAGAATATATATTGAAATAAACTATTTTGTAAGTTAAGATGGATAATGGCTAGTAGTGGATTCCAGGACGCGCGTTTAAAGAACATCAACTCTGAGATGTAGGTACATCCAACTAACCAGTCCCAAACAGGACGAAACAAGCCTCCTAGATTCCACTGCTAGCCACTATCCATCTTTGTTTATAATGCTTGTGAATTAAGGCAATATGCAAAGTATGTACAAATGCCGATAAGAAACCGATCAATTACAGTTCTAGATATTAATGGGAAGATTCAAGTAATTTTGATGGGGTTTTGTTCTCTGAACTGGGTGGTTTGGTCGTGGAGCTTTCATCGTTCTTCTGAACGACATCATCAGCACAAACTTCAGACAGAAAACTTCTACGACCAAACCATTCAGCTCAAAGAACAAAACTTCATCAAAATCATCCACCTAAGCTACAAATCTTCTCCACCATCTCAGATTCAAGTAAACAATAACAAGTGTACATTGTAAGTTATTGTTCAATTTCATTTAATATTCCTATAAACAAATCGAGTTTGAATAACTTAGTTTGAATAAATTGAATTCAGGTTGAGAAACTAAATGAAGTTTATTGCTTTCTTTTTTACAAAAAATACACAACCCTTCCAAAATTTACAAGCTATTTTGTTGTAAAAGATAGAAGAAAACACCTTGGTATTACAGTATCAACAAGTGATCTCTGAAGAAATCAAAGTATAAATGATGATATTATTAAGATATCAATCCTTTTGTATCCTCGAGCTCAATATTAGCATGTGTTGTGAGTTAGAATAATAAAACCGTAGAGTTTTCTTTTTAGTTTACCATATTGGTTATTTGAATGAGATGATAGATCTGAATTACATAATGTCTATCAGTTCTTTGTGGGAAAACAATCAAACATTACTTAAATAAAGCCTTCTTGCCAGTTTTAAAATAAGGAATTCGAGTAAAAAATAATAATTTAATGATCAATATATGAAAGGTTAATGTAAACATTAAGTTAATGACATATTTATAAAAATCCATCGGTGACCAGCCCTCACTTTCCCATGGTTTCAATTGGTTCCTGAGCCGATATTAGTTCGTAACAAAAACTAGCTTTGAAAAATTGTTGGTTTATAAGCTTTAGGAGCTAAATTACTCTGTTTAGTAAAAAAAAGAATAATTAGATTAGACAACAGTTCTCTACTTGCCACTTTAAAGCTTGAAGTATAGACCCTGAAAGTAAAAGATATACATATTATTTAATCGTTAGACTAGAAATGCGTTTGAAGTATTGATGGTGTATGATGAATTAGTCATGAGATTAGCGCTGATATTAACCTGACAGTATTGAAAGTCAGTTAATGATGTTACGAATCACCATTGAGGGAAGATATTGAAACGATTATCTATTAACATCTAATCGCTACCTATCATGATCTCCTATACTGACCAGCATAATAATAACACGTTGTAAAAATGCTATGAGTGCTCTGAAAAAGATATGTTAGCATTCTATTCAGTAACTATTTAGTAGTCTGAATTATCTTAAGATTAAAAAGATACTTCTGTTTGTTTATGAAACAATCATAATCTATAAAATAATTGAAAAACCTTAGTTGCCAAGGTTTACGATCAAATGAAGTGAACTACATTGAATTTACTTTTTATTCTTCGTAAAAATTTAGTGTTTTAATATGGTCAAATAATTATTATCAGTCAGTTGCTCAGGAAAGGGTTGAATGGAGAGTGTTGGTGGGTGGCCTATGCTCCTCCATGAGGGGTAACAGGCGTATGTAAGTAAGTAATAACGTTGTTTTCAGTCAATATGTTAAAAGTATCTTTTGTACGTTTAGTTCTTCACCCGTAATTTATGTTGTTAGTTAAACATTGATATTTTTTCCATTGTCAAACTTCTCATCATCAATGATAGTATGAATCATGGTACCTTTGTCTAGTTATCATATTTTTATCAAGTTTTATATTGTCTATGACCAACTGATCTATTATAAGAGTAAGAAAGCAGGACAGATTTATTACAAGGTATAATTTAATCTAAATGGTAATAGAACATACCAATGAAAAATGATATAGAAACGTCAATAGAAGTTTATTGTTTCAAGTCGGTACAAGTTTATGCTTATAAACATAATCAAAAAGAAAACAAACTTTAAGATGGAAGTGTATGACACAATTAGATGGGTGAAAATTATAAAAATATTAAGTTGAAAGTTATTTAGAACTACTAAGACAGAGCAAATTAATAAATAACATTGTAATGAGTTTAAACCCATGTCTTTTGTAGTCTTCAATCAACAATTTTCAATATCATAATTAGGTAACTCTAAATAATAATCTGATCTAATTTATACAACAATCTATGTATAGGCAGATAATAATTTAATCGTTTCGAATCAAAATATTCTTCAGGACTATGTTTCAAAGTATTAAAGGTTGGTATATTTCTCTCTTACGGTTATAACCCAGCCATTACTATTGTTTAGTATTCTCGGACACCGATTCACTCGACAAGTCGCCAAATCAGAACACGGTTGAATAGGAAAGAGATTATATTCCTAATAACAAGGTTAGATGGAAGTAAGAAGAACAATAGGGAAAACGTTAGTGTATTTATAGTTTTTACATGAGAAGACTCAAGAGTATTCTCCAACTATCGACTAGTGCTGATTGGATAATAATTAGCCAATCAGTGTGCACCGAAGCAATCGTGCATTGAGCATGCTTTAATCCAATCTCTGTCCCGCGAACAAAGGCGTAGATACCAAGAGAATATTTTCTAAACTAAACTACTTATACAAAATCAAATACTTAACTGATAATGATAATTAAACTATTATGTATATAAGATCATCAAGGATGTATTAATCTGAAAGTTAGGTGGTAAAAGGAGCTGAATTAATAAGTAACACTCTTGTTGATACATAACATTGATTCAAACAATAGATGAACATCAACTGGAAAAGTTATCTGATATACTATGATTAGAAAGTTGTATTATTTTTGATGAAATTTTGTTCTCTGAGCTAGATAGTTTGGTCGTCAGAGAATAAAACTCCATCAAAATCATCCACCTAATCTACAAATCTTCTCCACCATTTCAAGTTGTATTATGTAAGAATGAAATTTATTCTGACTAATCTAGAATAAACACTTTCATAAATAATGACATGTTATTGAATAAATTGCTAGTACCATAAAATGGTGTGACAAACAAAATAGGTTCATGTAAACGTCGTATATTAGAGTGTGATAATAATAATAATACATTTTATCAAATACTATCAATATTGGTCAGTGATTACGTCAATCTACTTTGGTTTTAAAATAAACTGGAATACATTGGTTTTATGTATTATTACCCATTGAATTAATTCAATTTATATTTGGTATGCTATTACTTGCTTCTGATTAAATAAATGGGTAAATGTTCAGTGGTTTGACGGAGTTGATAAGAAATCTTGGACCTAAGTTTTGTATTACTTGGTAGTTGTTAGCAAGATATACGTGCAATCTAGTAAGCAATGATCTTCTCTGTGATATAAATTGAACTCATTCAACCTGGTACTTTGCCATTAAGAACTAAACAAATATAACTTTAATGATAACTTAATGAAAGATCAATTTATATGTACAAATATTTGTCACAAATATACATTATTAACAGTATATATTTTCGTTAAAGCTAGAAGTCAAAGTAGCAAGTTAAACCATTGATTCAAATGAATAAGGTATTTACAGTGATAGTACAAATCGAAGGATGTTTACAACACAGAATAACTTTAGCTAGGTAAAGATTGAGAGAATTGGACAATTGTTTTTGTTAGATTAAATGACTCTTTAATACTAAGGGGACCCACAACCTTGTCAATGAATGAATCCGAAACTTTAAAATCTTATAGACACTGTGTTACTGTTAAATAGTGAATTGACATTCAAAAGTCAATTTGCGATACTGTGTAACCATCTTCTATTGGTATCAGTAATAACTGCCTATCTTCTGATCTAGCTCACTTCTATCAGTCGTAATTTATCAATGGAGCTTTTTTGGACTAAGCACAAAATTACCATTTAAGATGGGAAGTTTGTGGACTAACTTGTTGTCCAATAGTTTATCGCTTTTAAGCGTTATCTATATTATATCAGTTAGTAATGTAAATTAAGAAGTGAGATGCTTAAAGTGATTGGTCTGTAGGTAGTAATCAATATTATACTTTAATACAAAACCCCACTGAAATTTCATTGAACAGGTTCAACAAGTTGAGGGAATGTTTCATTCATACACACTGCCGGCCTTATGATGAAAGTAAGTAGCTTTTAACCATTTAATTACAAGTTAAATTTGATGAATAAGGTAAACAATCTAAATAAATATTTTTAGTTCGGAGACGGTTTTGGATCACGGTCATATGTTTATATCAATTTATGTTCTTTAATTATAAACTACCAAACTCTTAACAGATCAATGTCCACTTCACTGTTAATTTCTGTACAAGTTTTATACCTTCTTACTACTAACTGTTTCGTAAATTAGTCCCTATTAACATCACATCTATAGAATTACAAAATAACAAGTTTGCTCAGTAGTGACTAGCTTCGTGATGGATTTCTTGGAGTTTCGGTGAAAAGCCGTGACCAGTGGAGTCCAATCTGTGTCCGATGGAGACAGTTATCCACTTCAGAGAATGGATGAAGGCTTGCGCAAAGTCATGGATTGATTGAAGTTAAAAATTAACGCCGTTGAATACCAGCTCAGTGGTTGATAGGTTAAGCGTTCACGCGTGAGACCGAGGTTCCTGGGTTCGAGTCCCGCATGCAGGATCGTGGATGTGTACTATGGAGGCATCTCTTACTTGGACAAAACAGCTATCCAGTGCTTCCAAGTTTTTAATTGTGATCTAGCATAGATCATCTCATAAATTCAACTCTTCTACTTTTCATATGAATAATTTCTCAACTTCTATGCTGATGTTGTATGTGTTCGACATTCACGCTAGATTCTATCTTTTCTATAATTAATTAACTGCATTATAAAACTAGAATTATAGTAATCATAAAAATAATTCATACTGCTAACAAAATAGTTTTCCAGTTCTATCTGATTGTCATTTATTCTTCAGTTAACCTGAGACTATGAAGACAAAAAGCTTTGTCCATAAATACATATGTATAGTTCTTCGAGAAATTGTATAAATGAAATTGAAAATAACCACAGTAATTACAGACGGTTGGAGTTGACAACTAAATATGAGAAATATAGTTTGAAAAAAAACAAAATGAATAATACTACCGAAAAAATAAATTATGAAGTTCATAGTTTAAAGAAAGAAACAGGTTGAATGTAAGTAGTTACATACAATCTGTTATGAACTAAATCATTTACCATATCCAAGTATGAAGTATTTTGATAATTTGAAAGTACTCACATAGTTAACTCATGAAGTTATATTTAATTAATATCAAGGATAGTATGAAGTTAGTATTTGTAAACATTTGTAAATCTTCAGAAGCTTTCAAAAACAAAGATACATCGAAGTTATTTGAACGCTTTTGCAGACTGTGAAATCGAAAACTCAAAGTTATGTAAAATTTTAGTCTACATAATCAAAATATTTTATTTTTGTTTGAAAGATCCATAGATTTTACTTCAATATTCAATGCTTTAAACATCTAAACTTGGGATCGTTGCAAATTATCTTGAACCTTTTCAAAGTATAAAGAAACCAAGTCAACCCCCCCCCCCCAGTTAATTGATTCATACTAAGTTAAATCTGAAATGAATAAAACAACGTCTACTTTGAAAATTTTTATAACAATATGTAGTGATTAAGTAACTCCGCCTGCAGCCTCTCTAGGGCTACTGCCGGTCCCAAGACAGCGTAAAGGAGGGGGAGGGTTGGGGATGGGGTTAGCGACCTCATTCTGTAAAAAACTAACTCGGTAAAAATACGCTAACCAGAAAAAATAATTCAAACCACTTAAACTCTGCCCCGGGCGTTAGAAGATTTTCATTTCATTCAAGAGAAGTGATTAAGTGGGATATTCTATTTTATTAATTAATCACACGTTGTTTTATCCTTAGGATCAACTGAATTCCAAAGAACAATGTAAATATTTATGTGAAAACTCATCAAAATTTAAACAAAGAATATGATAGAAATTAGTTTACGAGTATACAAAAGATAATGATGTGTAAAGTTATATTCGAAATGACTTTAACAGTAGAAGTTTAAATAGCTTCAACATTCAATACGTCAGTCTAGGTCGAGTTTTCCCAGGGGAATACCCAAAATCAAAATTATCAAAGACGAATAAAAACAAAATCTATTCAGTGCTAAACCCTTAAACAATAATGTTCAAATTCTGAATTTTACTCAGAATTCACGTTGTGAAGTCCAAGGTTATCAAAAGTCTAGAAGCTTTTGGTTGCAGGTAGGTTCCTATTAAATGTTTTGTTAATCACCGAACTAGAAATGCACTAGGGTAAGTTGAGTTTGTCAAAGTACGCCTTAATAGTAAGAAATCTGATTGTCCGTTGTAATGTTAATTAAAAGAGATCAGAGATTATTTCAAACATAATGATTGACCTTAAAATTAAACTGCCGCAACTGAATTCATGTGTTTATCTAAGCAAGACCACCACTGAAAACTTGGAAGCATTAAAAGGCGTTCGTACACGAGACCGAAGGTACTGGGTCCGAATCCCTCATGCGGGACCATGAAGGGGTCTTGCACTAAGATGAAACGGCCGTCCAGTGCTCCCATGTTTTTTAACAAAGAAAGAATCATAATACATTTTATTTTGTTGCTTTCTATGCAGCTGCATTTAAGAGTCAGTAGTTAACCATCAATCGCCTTGACAACACAAACGAATCAAAACTGTTTGATCTCTCTTGTCTTTAATTTATAGCAGCAGCCTCTGCATCAGTAGGTTTCAAGATACACAGGGGAAAAAGAAACATCCTCAAATACAACACGGAGAACAGCAATCCAATCACAACTGATGGAGAAGCTCTGAAAGCGGTCGAAAGAGGTCGTTCATGTATCTGGTCAGCAGCATCATCGATAAACAAGAAGGATTTGATGCAGACGCAAAAGTGAGGATTGGCAAAGTAAGGACAGCATTCCTACAGTTGCAGTAAATATGAAACTGAAAACAACCATCATTTAGTATCGAAGTCAAAATCTTCAGTACAAATGTTCAGACAGTCCTACTTTTCGCAGCTGAAACTTGGAGAACTACTACAATCATTATCAAGTACAAGTATTCCTAAGCAATTATGTACGCAAGATATTGTAGATCCGTTGTCCGAATACCATCAGTAACAATCCACTGTGATATGGAACAAACCAACTTCCAAATGAAGATGAACTTTGAGAAATATATTGGAAGTGGATGGGACATATAATTCGGAAATCATCAAACTACACCACGAGGCAAACGCTAATTTGGAATCGTGAATGGAAACGAAAAAGAAGAAGGCCAAAGAACACACTACGTCGGGAATCGGAGAAACAGACATGAAAATAATGAATAGCAACTGGAAAGAATTGCCGAGGACATAGTGGATTTGAGAATTGTGGTGGGCGACCTATGCTCCTTCACAAAGGGTAACATGCATAAATAAGTATGTAAGTTTATTTAATTTAATTGTAATCACAATTTAGTGAGTTCAACTCATATGTCCTTTTTTTTTCTTCCAAAACTTCTAAAAAAATGTTTTTATTGGTTATATCACATAAAAAAATTATCTTAATATTCTAGAATTATAAAAAACTATTTTAAGAAAAAAATTATGATGCAAAGTCTTCTTTAGTGTTTTTCACATAAAACACCACTTATCCGTTATTGATTAACACATTATATTGCGACATAACATCTATTAACTGGTAACAATTAAAGTTTATAGTTTATATGTAACTGATGGAAAAGTGACGAATCACAGCGAATTCATCAGTTGTTGTCTTTGATTTATTTAATATCACAATTTCAAGTTTATCCTACATTATTGATATTCTGTTCGAGATGAATGTTAAAAACAAACAAACATGAAGTTCAGATTTTAAGTCATTTAAATCCCTGTTCGTGGATTAGTTGAAGTTAGACATTAACACCGTTGGATACGAGCTCAGTGGTATAGAGGTTAAGCACTGACAGATCATGGGTTCGAATCACGCTAGGGGCAGGATGATGGATGCGCATTGTCAAGGAGTCCCATACTATGATGAAAAATCTGTCCAGTGCTTCCAGGTTTTTCATTGTGGTCTAGCTCCAATTATTAAACTTATCCTAACTGTTTTATGTTTTTTAAAGGCTTTTGTCATTTATTATGAGTAGTACAACCTTTTTATGAATTATTTTATCAGTTAATTTGATAGTAACTGCATTTAAGAACAGAGATATATAACATTGATTATAATTCAGTTGTCAATCAGTTTAATCCAATTTATTTGTAAGGAAATTAAAAATATGTAAAACAATAGTATTTATCTTACTTTGCCTAAATTTGTTTGAGTGTCCCAGCAACCAATGGTACCATGTTCAGACTCTGCATTAGCCAATAATGTTTTCATTTCATTCTCTTCATTACGTAATATTTCAACAGTTCTCGACAGTATTCCTTTTTCTGCGCGTAACTCACTTAATTGAGCACGTTTTTGCTTATATATTGTGTTTTTACTACGAAGTTTTGCAACATATCGTTGAAACTGAATAGAAAAAAAATTATGAAATTAGGGAAGAAGTGAGTTTTGACTTTAATCATTTACTACTTAAGTATTATGACAAAACATTTCTTGTCTACAAATCAGTAGTTAGCGAGAAAACAATACACAAATTGATGAATAGGAAACTATCATGTTGTGAGGTGTCCGAGTCTGATATTTGATACACAAGCTTCCTATTAGTGAGCCCAACTGGCTGCTTTAGTGACAAGACTGAGAGTGAGGGAGCTTTTTGGCGAACAAATGGATCGGGTAGTAATTAAACACCCATTCATATATATGTATATATATCCCTTAGAAATGTTGACCATATATTTCGGCCAGTGGGATGTGTTTCATTCTTTGGAAGGGAAAGCAAACTGTTGGCTGATGGCTAATTGGCCTACTGTATCAGAAATCTAATATTTTTTTGAGAGAACTGTCCAGTGTTTCCAGTTTTTCAGTGGTTATATGATATAGATCGGTTCATGATATTAATAAAATCCCGTAGTTTTAACAATCCCAAACAGATGATGGATGAAGGGTTGCGCAAGATCATGGGTCAACGGAAGTTAGACATCAACACTGTTGAATGTCGACTCAGTGGTCTAGAGGTTGAGTGTTCTCGCACATACCCGAGGGTACTGGGTTCGAGTCCTGAATGCGCGATTATGGATGGACATTACTGAGTCTCATATTTGGACAAAATGGCCATCCAGTGCTTTTACATTTTTAGTGGTTTTTTACATAAGTTGGTTCATGGCTGCTACAATATTTTTGGAAAGTATTTGACCTAACGATAAGAATATAATATGTTTGTGTCATTTTAATTTGCTTATTTATTTATTTAAAGAAACGATTTACAAAAGGTAACAGAACGTCAGAAATCCAATTTTCTACTCATTAGGATATAGCAAATGCACTATTATTTTATTATTATAAACAGTCTACCCGTTGGTCAATTTAGATGAAATTTTTAAGTCAATGTTCGGTGTCAATACTAACGTTTCTGATTGTTTGAAATTTATCTAAGTTACAACTGAATTCAGAAATATTCTTAACAAACGTTAGTGTCTTATGGTTAAAGGAGTCGGTAGAGATCTTTGAAACTATGTTTCGTGATGGATAACACTTGTTAACAAGATAAATCTATAATGTTTAGAGAAGTGATGTTTCATTTAAGATTTGATTTGATCCGAAAGGAATATCATAAACAAAGACACTACTATTGAGCTATTTAAGATACAATCAGCTGTAGTGTATAAGGTCTGAAATACGTAAACTGTATAGCGACTGATGCCATTATTGTTTAGTTATTTGCACTGATTAATCAAAATAGAAAGTAGTTCAAAGTCAAAACTTTTTTAACTAAGTATACAAATAAAATATAAATTAGTAACAATACTATCGAGGATAGTTAACATAGGATTTCTCACTATGATCAATAGTTTTGTTGAACAAAAGTAAAAGTTTAAATGCACGTATATACATGTTCAGTCGTGTTTTTTCAATATCTTTATCGATATTGTCATCATAATGAGTATCATAAACTCAAGGTTATAAATCGGCTGGTGGGATTATGTATGTTTTTCAACTGAGGTGGTTGAGACATATAGTAAGTATACCCGACCATTTCCAACGTCAACGTTCTATGTTTGCTTGTGTATGAGTAGGTTGGAAGAAAGTTAGGGGCAACTAAATCAAGACATTATATCAGTTCGTGACTGTTGGACTGAGTAGAGCTGGTAGTTGCAGACTAGCAGGTTAAGGACATTGGTTGACTTGGCTCGCAATTGGTCTCAATTGCATAAATTGATTCAAACATTACCTCTTGAGTCTTTAGTCAAAAAATTACCTTAAATCTTAATCCTGAGAGTTTATACTTTCTTCTCGAATCATATTGTTTATGCCTAATGTCATCTACTTCCACTAATAATGTTTTTACTTCTATTACCCTTATCTTGATAATTTCATCCCATTGTACTGATATGATGTGACAACTTGAACCGATGCATAGATTTGGAAGGTTTTGATTTGTTTATAATTGACTGACTGATTGATATATACGAAAAATATTTATCATCAAAACAATTTAAAATGAACTCAACTACAGCTTACTTCATCAGTCTTTAAACAGGACAGATCTAACGCCTTATTTATTGTAATCCCATTGCCATCTTCTCCATTCTGATCAATAGTTGTTGATACACCCAATTGATTTTTCATTTCTTCAAGATGATTATTCAATTCAGATAGTCTATCACGTGTTGTTGTTAATGTTTCAGCTGCTGCTAATTTTTTACGTCTTACAATAGCAGCTTGCTGACGAAATAATGAAATTTTATCATCAAATGGTTCATTTGAAATCATACGTTTTTCTATTAGTTCATTTAATTCAGAATTTGCATCACGTAGCTAAATTAGATTGAATATACAAGGAAGAAGATGAGAAAAGAGATTATATTTAGTTTATCAAGCATAGCAAGTTATATGAATGTGTAAAAATTCAAAAAAACTTTAAGGGAATTCAACAACACGCTAACCAGAAAAAATTATTCAAACCTTTTAAACTCTGCCCTGGGAGTCAGAAGGTCTTCATTTAGAAGAATTATGACGCCTCATGATGAAAGCCGAATTCCTTCGGAAGTTACGAGGCCGATGCCCCTTCTGACAACCAGAGCGACCATTTATTTAGGTACATGGAATACTCGTACAATGTGGGAGACCGGGAGAGTCTTCCAAATTGCTGCAGAAATGAGAAGATACAACCTAGATGTGCTTGGGATCAGTGAAACACATTGGACGGAAGTTGGACAACAGCGACTAGCTTCAGGGGAGCTTCTGTTATACTCCGGCCGTGATGAAGAAAATGCACCACATACACAAGGAGTTGCATTGATGCTGTCCAAACAAGCACAAAATGCACTTATAGGATGGGAATCTCATGGACCAAGGATCATCAAAGCCCCCTTCAAAACAAAGAAAGAAGGCATTTCAATGAACATCATCCAATGTTGTGCACCTACCAATGACTACAATGAAGACGCTAAAGATCAATTCTACAATAGGCTGCAGTCAATCATCGAGAAGTGCCCAACAAAGGACCTGACCATTCTGATGGGAGACCTCAATGCGAAGGTTGGAGTGGACAACACTGGATATGAAGACATCATGGGACGACACGGACTGGGAGAAAGAAACGAAAATGGTGAGAGATTTGCAAATCTATGTGCCTTCAATAAGCTGGTCATAGGCGGCACCGTATTCCCACATAAACGCATTCACAAAACCACATGGATTTCACCGGATTACACTACACAAAACCAAATCGGCCATATTTGCATCAACAAAACGTTCAAGAGGACGATGGAAGATGTGAGAACCAAGAAAGGAGCTGATATAGCATCAGATCATCACTTGCTGGTCGCCAAGATGAAATTGAAACTCAAGAAGCACTGGACAATGGGGCGGACAATATCACAAAAGTTCAATACGGCCTTTCTCCAGGATACTAACAAACTCAACAAATTCAAGATAGTCCTCAGCAACAAGTTCCAGGCCTTTCATGATCTATTCAATGGAGAAGGGACTACTATGGAGAGCAATTGGAAGGGGATCAAAGAAGCAATCACTTCGACATGCCATGAGGTCCTGGGTCACAAGAAGCACCACCACAAGGAATGGATCACTGTTGATACACTATATAAGATTCAAGAAAGAAGAAACAAGAAGGCAGCAATCAATACCAGCCGAACAAGAGCAGAAAAGGCCAGGGCACAAGCTGAATACACAGAAGTAAACAAGCAAGTGAAGAAGAGCATCAGAACTGAAAATCGTAAATATGTGGAAGATTTAGCAACGACGGCGGAAAAGGTCGCAAGAGAAGGAAACACGAGAGAACTGTATGACATAACAAAGAAACTCTATGGAAATTACCGTAAACCGGAGCAAACAGTGAAAAGTAAGGAAGGCAAGGTAATCACCAACATTGAAGAACAACGAAACAGGTGGGTAGAACACTTCAATGAACTCTTGAATCGACCAGCTACACTGAACCCACCCAACATCGAAGCAGAAATCACGGACCTCCCAATCAATGTTGGCCCACCAACAATTGAAGAAATCAGAATGGTCATCAGACAAATCAAGAGTGGCAAAGCAGCAGGACCAAACAACATCCCAGCAGAGGCACCAAAAGCAGACGTAGCGGCAACTGCAAGGATACTCCACATTCTCTTCAATAAGATTTGGGATGAGGAACAAGTACCAACAGACTGGAAAGAAGGACTTCTGATCAAAATACCGAAGAAAGGCGATCTCAGCAACTGTGATAACTACAGAGGCATCACTCTTCTCTCAATACCGGGAAAAGTCTTCAACAGGGTATTGTTAAACAGGATGAAGGACTGCGTAGACGCCCAACTTCGAGACCAACAGGCAGGATTCCGTAAGGATAGATCGTGTACAGACCAAATCGCAACTCTACGGATCATTGTGGAACAATCAATTGAATGGAATCCATCACTCTACATCAACTTCATTGACTACGAAAAGGCATTTGACAGCGTGGACAGAACAACACTATGGAAGCTTCTTCGACACTACGGCGTGCCTCAGAAGATAGTCAATATCATACAGAGTTCATATGATGGATTACACTGCAAAATCGTGCATGGAGGATAATGACAGACTCTTTCAAGGTAAAGACCGGTGTCAGGCAAGGTTGCTTACTCTCACCCTTCCTGTTTCACCTGGTGATCGACTGGATCATGAAGACGTCAACGTCTGAGGGAAAGCGCGGGATACAATGGACATCTAAGATGCAGTTGGATGATCTAGACTTCGCAGACGATCTGGCCTTTCTATCCCGCACGCAACAACAGATGCAGGAGAAGACAAACAGCGTGGCAGCAGCCTCAGCAGCAGTAGGTCTCAACATAAACAAAGGGAAAAGCAGGATTCTCCGATACAACACAGCATGCACCAATCCAATCACAATTGACGGAGAAGATTTGGAAGATGTAAAAACCTTTACATATTTGGGCAGCATCATTGATGAACAGGGTGGATCTGATGCAGATGTGAAGGCGCGGATCGGCAAAGCAAGAGCAGCATATTTACAACTGAAGAACATCTGGAGCTCAAAGCAACTGTCAACCAACACCAAGTTCAGGATTTTCAATACAAATGTCAAGACAGTTCTACTGTATGGGGCAGAAACCTGGAGAACTACAAAAGCCATCATCCAGAAAATACAGGTGTTTAATAACAGTTGTCTACGCAAAATACTTCAAATCCATTGGCCGGACACTATTAGCAACAACGTATTGTGGGAAAGAACAAACAAGATCCCAGTGGAGTAAGAAATCAGGAAGAAGCGCTGGAAGTGGATAGGACACACATTGAGAAAAGCACCGAACTGCGTCACAAGACAAGCCCTCACAGGGAATCCTGAAGGTCAAAGGAAAAGAGGAAGATCAAAGAACACATTACGCCGAGAACTGGAGATAGACAAGAGAAAAATGAACAAGAATTGGATGGAACTAGAAATGAAGGCCCAGGACAGAGTGGGTTGGAGAATGCTGGTCGTCGGCCTATACTCCATTAGGAGTAACAGGCGTAAGTAAGTAAGTAAGTATTCACTGTTGTAGAGTACTATGCTATGGTTAATAACAACATATATAAAATAGTAAAATTAAGTAGATTGGTAACTGAATACTAAGGCAGTTATCTGATTGTCAATGAGAGAAACTGCCGTTGTCAATGTATAGTAACAACAATTTCTTGTAAATATACATATAGAAAAAGGATGGCTATTCGTAAATTTAAACTCCGACTACGTGTACAAAAAACAATTTGTCGTAACCTTGAATTTACTTCGGTAATACTTAACCCATTTTATGGCCTAAGATAATCCGACAATTTCATATTTTTTCTACACAATGTAAACTTGTTTCTCTCCATTTTGTTGCCTTTTTTCATTGAACTCCTATTTCAGTGTATTCACTTGGTGTTATTTACTTGTATCTTCCCATTGTTTATTAGCACTGCAATTGATTAGTCTCTTGTTGGTATATGCGTATTCTGTGCGGATTGCCTTGATATTGCCTGAAGTCACAAGCTTTATAAGCAAAGATGGATAGTAGCTATGAGTTGAGTCCAGGAAAATATTGAAGTGTGTGTTTGATACTCTTAGTAAATAAGCTATCATAAATGAGAGTGACAGTTGATATAGTCATAGATATAGAACTGAAAAAAACTAAAGTGGCTATGAGTGGAATCCAGGACGTGTGTTTCGCCCTATTTGAGACTCGTCAGTTGGATGTACCTGCATCTCCGGAACTCGAATCTAGTACCATTCGCTTTAAACGCCATCGCGTTGTCCACTTAGCTACTGAGTTCAAACTGAGTTCTGGTAATTAACCTTCATTAATTTTCATATAAAAATGCCGTGGTAAGTATATATGTGACCAGATTGTTCAAAATGTATAGCACAAATACATCACATTTTTCAGATCAACTCCGTCTTCTAATTGCTCTATCGAAAGATGAATTAACTGAAAGACTACCATTGTCAGATAAATGCACATCTACTTAGTGCCTATTTTAAACAAAACGAAACTGATTTATTGACTAAACATGAACAAATACAAGTAAGAAACAAGTCATTAATACTGGTAAGTCAAATAATTAATGAGAAGTATTGACGCCTCATTACCAACCTTTTTATTTATATAAATTTACTGTGGACAAATGATTATATGTAGGTTTTATCAACGAAGCTACACAAGGAACCTAACTTTGATAAATTAGTGCAGGAAGAAAAGGTGGCCATTAAAATTGTTGACATCGAACGATTTCAAATAAACTTTATTTACTAACTATTCAATATGCTCTCTGAATATCATTATTTATTATTTGCATAGGCCAAAACATTGTGTAGTTTCAAAAATACAAACTTCCATTACTTATAAATTTTATGAAACTTCATTTATTCTCTAAAGTCTATAAAGAATAAATTCATCACAGTTAACAGATGATAGAAAGATATATACATATTTTTTAAAAAGATTATCAGCAAACAATTAAGAAACAATGGTAACAAATCACGTTAGTTTTCTACTGGATTGGGTCGCTAACCCCATGCCCAATCCTCCTTCTTTACCCGGGCTTGGGACCGTCAGTAACTCTAGAAGAGCTACAGGTAGAAAACCAAGGTCATCAAATTCAAAACAGAGAACAGCAGTCCAATCACTCTTGATGGCGAAACTCTGGAAGATGTAGAATCATTCACATATCTGGGAAGCATCATCGATGAACAAGGAGGTTCAGGTGCAGACGTAAAGGTGAGGATTGGCAAAGCAAGAGCCGCATTCCTACAATTGAAGAACATATGGAACTCAAAACAACTTTCA